ACTATGTGGTCTTCTGAGATCCATAAAATGCCTGGAATGATAATAATGAGAATCAAAGCTACAACTGAAGACTAGATCATTAGAAATCCATTCATTCATTATATCATGAAAACCAGAATATAGCAACTGTTGTCACTGTTTGACAATTTAATCTGCCAGGTGCTGTGCTAAGCACTTTCCTATATTCTCAGATCCTTCTAAAAGCTCTTAAATGTAAACATTATCTTTTCTATTTTGTAGATATGGGACCTGAGTCTCAGAGTGGAGAGACTTGCCCAATGACACATGTTACTTCTTTACTTGCAAAAGCTAGTATTCACGTCAGATGTGCTACACCAAAGACTGTACTCTGGCGGCTAGACCATGATGTCTGCTGTAATACTAAGTTGCTTAACTTTTGCTCTAAACTAGTAAAGCCTGAAATACCACACTGAATAGGAAATGAAAGCGAAATCCACAGGCCAGGCTTTTTTTTTTTTTTTTTTTAAACAATTCCCTTCTAACCAATGAAAACTCACAGGTTAAAGTTCTGCCTTTAAAACTCGCACTTTATTTCTGTAGGTGTGGTCTTCTGGTAGGTTTTCTCAAGTAGGAGTTATTATCTAACCACAAACCGTCTGTCATTACACTGCAGTTCAGAGGAGGTCTCTGATTGGCTGACCAAAAGAGCAACATTTGAATTTAAAGAAGAAACCAAAACAACCAAGGGTTACCTCAGTGAGAAAGATAAAGCTTTGTTGTCAGAGAAAACTCCAACTGGCTTTGAGAGATTAGGCACTAAAACCTGCCCTAGCAAAACCATTATCCTTACCTCAGTAACTGGTCTATTATTATTTTTTTTATGAAGAAACCAGCCCTTATTTTAAGTAAAAGATACACGAAAAGATGTAAAACCATGTCAAGCTGCTTTATAAACTACAAAGTTTTAAAATATTTAATCTCTAAATAGAAAATAAAATTTGTCTGTCTGCAAAAGCTATACCAGGAGCAGGTGACAGAGGAGTGGCCACAATTCCCAGTGTCTACTTTCCTAATCACTGGATCCCACATAGACAGGGATTCTTGTCTCCCATACAGTATTTCCCTGCTATTCGATGGGTCCGGTAAGCAAACTGTGCCATCAGGCATACATTAACAAAACCTACAAAGGAACATAGTGAGCCACAGAGATGACTTCATTCTAGAAGGGAAAGTGCCACGTCAGGTGTGGTAGTGTATGCCTGTAATCCCAACACTGAGGAGGGAGGCTGAGGCTGGAGGACTGTTGAGAGTTCCAGGTCAACTTGTGCTACAAAGTTAGTTCAAG